TTATACACTGTTCAATTTTTAAACTAATATTAATTCCTAAAAAGCATTCTAGTGGAAATTCTGTGCCAAGAACAACCGTGAACGGTTTCAAAAGTTCACTGGAAAATTTCAAAGATTATTTTACCTATTGATTAAATATTACTCATAAAGTGTATAAATAAACATCACCATTTTTATATTTATTTCGAGGTAATTAAAATAAAAAAAGGTGGGCAAGTGGGTGTCGCTCTGCTGTACAGTAGGTTACAAGTGGGTCACTGTATAATGGATGGTATTAAATTTGAATTCAATGATATAATATCATTGTATAAGAAAAACGATTCTGAGCGGTGATGGTATGTCAGTCTATGTATAAGGCATATTATATACATATCTATGGTATTAAACAAAAAATTGACCTATAATAGGTACCTATAATAAATTCCAAATTAATCATATCACAATATCCATTAGATACTTATAACGCGTTATACATCAACAAAAACCGTGATACTATCATAGATATATAATAGTACACTTTAGAAGTTTCAAGTACCCACGAATAGTATTATTCAATCACAACAAAATAACTAAAATCGTAATTCTTGGTTTAAATATGAAATTTTGTCTAAATTTGAAATTAAAATGTCTGTAAAAAATAAGTGTGTTTATATATTTTTTAGATTTTTTGGTTACAGTATGAATTATTTAAGAGAATCTTTGTTTTAAATTTTCAACTCTTAGTTATAAAAACTGAACATTTTATAATTTTTTAATTCCAACGATTGATAATTTTCGAGATTTTGATAAATTTTGTCAAAATTCCAACTTTAAATGCTTATAAAAAAAAATCGTGCCTATGTATTTTTAATGTTTTTCAACTGATATTGTAACAATATATCAGGAGCCTTGTATTAAATTTTTATACTTTTTGGCCCAACAGATAAAACTTTATTGATATTTATAGAAAAAAAAACTAAAAAAAATTGAAAGCTGTAAATGTCCATAAACAGCTCAAAAAGAGTCAAAATATTTTCAAAATTGTATGGTGTGTAGGAAATGCTAATATAAACATTCAGTGAAATTTTCATGTATCTACAGTTATTCGTTTTTGAATTACAACAAAATAAGGAAATCGCTACATGAGAAATCGAGTGAAAATCCAATGTTGTAAAAATTTGAATTTCAAACGCTCATAAAAATTTAATTTGACTGTCCGGTAGAGATTTTTTTATTTATAAAGGTAGATAATCTTATAAGGAATCTTGTGTTTCATTTTCAAATCTTAGATTTAAAAAGAAAAATTTTTACGAATTCTTAACTCAAAATAATTTGCTAATTTTCGTGATTTTTCCATATTTTGTCAATTTTTGAACTTTAAATGCTTATAAAAAAAAATTGTGACTAAGGATTTTTAATATTTTTCATCTGCCTTTGAAACAACATATTAGGAGCCTTCTATTAAATTTTCAAGCTTTCGCAACCAATAATAAAATTTTATTGATATTTTTAGAAAAAAAACTAAAAAAAAATGGAAAATGAAAATGTCCCTAAACAGTTCAAAATAAATCAAAATATTTTGAAAATGTTATCGTGTATAGAAAATGCAAATATAAACAACCAGTGAAAATTTCATGTATATACGTTCATTTGTTTTAGAGTTACACCAATAACCAAAATCGATTTTTTGGAAAACCAATTTTGCGTAAAAATTCCCGTTTTTCCTTAATTTTTATGTTGTTTTTCCCGGCGCTTGTGAAAACTACTGGGAAATTTATACTTTTGACCCCCCAAAGTACCAACTAGATTCACTTTCCTATCAGAAAAGCTACTGATGAAGAAAATCCAAGCACTTTTACTGTCCTAAAACGTGATGACAGACACAAAAATATAAATAAAAATATAAAAATATAAAAAGGTGGGCAAGTGGGTGTCGCTCTGCTGTACAGTAGGTTACAAGTGGGTCACTGTATAATGGATGGTATTAAATTTGAATTCAATGATATAATATCATTGTATAAGAAAAACGATTCTGATCGGTGATGGTATGTCAGTCTATGTATAAGGCATATTATATACATATCTATGGTATTAAACAAAAAATTGACCTATAATAGGTACCTATAATAAATTCCAAATTAATCATATCACAATATCCATTAGATAATTATAACGCGTTATACATCAACAAAAACCGTGATACTATCATAGATATATAATAGTACACTTTAGAAGTTTCAAGTACCCACGAATAATATTATTCAATCACAACAAAATAACTAAAATCGTAATTCTTGGTTTAAATATGAAATTTTGTCTAAATTTGAAATTAAAATGTCTGTAAAAAATAAGTGTGTTTATATATTTTTAGATTTTTTGGTTACAGTATGAATTATTTAAGAGAATCTTTGTTTTAAATTTTCAACTCTTAGTTATAAAAACTGAACATTTTATAATTTTTTAATTCCAACGATTGATAATTTTCGAGATTTTGATAAATTTTGTCAAAATTCCAACTTTAAATGCTTATAAAAAAAAATCGTGCCTATGTATTTTTAATATTTTTCAACTGATATTGTAACAATATATCAGGAGCCTTGTATTAAATTTTTATACTTTTTGGCCCAACAGATAAAACTTTATTGATATTTATAGAAAAAAAAACTAAAAAAAATTGAAAGCTGTAAATGTCCATAAACAGCTCAAAAAGAGTCAAAATATTTTCAAAATTGTATGGTGTATAGGAAATGCTAATATAAACATTCAGTGAAATTTTCATGTATCTACAGTTATTCGTTTTTGAATTACAACAAAATAAGGAAATCGCTACATGAGAAATCGAGTGAAAATCCAATGTTGTAAAAATTTGAATTTCAAACGCTCATAAAAATTTAATTTGACTGTCCGGTAGAGATTTTTTTATTGATAAAGGTAGATAATCTTATAAGGAATCTTGGGTTTCATTTTCAAATCTTAGATTTAAAAAGAAAAATTTTTACGAATTCTTAACTCAAAATAATTTGCTAATTTTCGTGATTTTTCCATATTTTATCAATTTTTGAACTTTAAATGCTTATAAAAAAAAATTGTGACTAAGGATTTTTAATATTTTTCATCTGCCTTTGAAACAACATATTAGGAGCCTTCTATTAAATTTTCAAGCTTTCGCAACCAACAAATAAAATTTTATTGATATTTTAGAAAAAAAACTAAAAAAAAATGGAAAATGAAAATGTCCCTAAACAGTTCAAAATAAATCAAAATATTTTGAAAATTTTATCGTGTATAGAAAATGCAAATATTAACAACCAGTGAAAATTTCATGTATATACGTTCATTTGTTTTAGAGTTACACCAATAACCAAAATCGATTTTTTGGAAAACCAATTTTGCGTAAAAATTCCCGTTTTTCCTTAATTTTTATGTTGTTTTTCCCGGCGCTTGTGAAAACTACTGCGAAATGTTTACTTTTGACCCCCCAAAGTACCAACTAGATTCACTTTCCTATCAGAAAAGGTACTATTGAAGAAAATCGAAGCACTTTTACGGTCCTAAAACGTGATGACAGACACAAAAATATAAAAATATAAAAATATAAATAAAAATATAAAAACATACATCATTGTAAAACCAATACATTCATCGCTCCGCTCAGAATCTAAAATATAAAAACATACATCATTGTAAAACCAATACATTCATCGCTCCGCTCAGAATCTAAAATTATAACTATATTACATAATATTATAACATAACTATTGATATGAATAAAGGTAATTATTTTTTTTTAAAAATATTAAAAGTACCTACGCTGAAACTAATTTATTTATGATAATTTACGTTTATATTAGATGATAAATAGTATATATCAAATCTCACCATGGGTAAACATAAAAAATCATTTTAGAGTATGAATGAATCTTATATAATAAATAATTAAAATTTTCTTGACAACATTAATTTTACCATTCATACAATATATTTTTGAGATTAAAGGAAGAGGTAATATGGCAAAACTCGTGCCCTCTTAAGAAAGTTTCAAGAGAAATTCCACTAGACTTTATTCCAAAAATACCTTAAGAACTGTTGAATACTGTAAGTGTACCAACTACTATAGAGTGTACTAAACTATACTTACAGAATCATTACTCGAATTCTTTAGAATTTAAAATTTATAAATCTTCTCTACAACAGCTATCAACGCACACCTATAAAGGATAAGCCATTATAATATTAGAATATAACAGACAGTGTACACAGGCTTAAAAGTATCTATTTATGTATCCATAATATGTTTATAACATGAACCTTTTTGTGCTATTTAAATAATGTTTCATTCAACAAATTTTAAAATAAGATTCTAAAAAATATTGTTAGTAATTGAAAATATAATTAAAACACTTTTAATTGCTTTTATCGATACTAATGGATTTCTATTTTCTATGCGTTCTTACCGAAACCTCCAGATGTTTCATAAAGTCGTTCAAATCGTTGGTGCATCTGTGTCAGATAACACAACTTTAGATTCACAAAACTTTTTTTATACAATCAACCATAATTTTGTATCAAAATAAAAACGAGTCGGCTTGAAGGCTTTAAACAAAAAATGTATTTAGTATTTTACTGTTATGGCGAATTGATGAAAATCAACGTAACTTTGTGACAGACGATTTCAATTGAATTTACTAGCATTTGTCATTTGATGAAAAATTGTCCAAGATGCCTAATAAAATAATAATCTTCGACGACGTGGGCAATAATATTAATGTGATGGTTGCCAAAACAAATGAAACTCGAATTACGCTCACCCAGATTAGAATACTAATAATATAATATGTATTATTTCAAAAATAATTGAAATTAATAGATAACAGTAAAAAACGGCGAATGTTCAATCATAGGAAACAACACGAACGTGGTATAATTTTAACCGATAACCTGGTTGGACCATATAAGACGAAAAAATGCAACACATACACACGAGCACACACACACACACACACATATCCCGGTGGTATACCATGGTAGTAGAAAATATTATTATACTTAAGGCACCCTCTTCGCGGTGCAGCGAGTACGACGGCGACAGTCCGACCGGTGCCGACGGCGAACGATCGCGGCCGAACGTTCCTCGTGCCGACGCTATGGCCCGGAGACCGCGACCGACCCTCGACCATTCGGCGTCCGGTTGCGCTGTCGTACCGTCCTTCGCGTGTCGTTACCGTCTTTGCCGCCGGTTCCAGTCGTCTTATCGTTCGGTCGTGTTACGGGTGTGTCTGTTGTGCGAGTTCAGTGCGTTTCTAGCGTTCGGCCTAGTGTGAACTTGACGGTACAATTTCATTGCTCTGTAGTGCGAGTGAATAAGTCGAAAAAAAATTAAGAATTGACCTTCCGATGTAGGATTTTCCACGGATTTGTACACGAGGAAAAACTCGCGGTGTGTGCGATTCGAGTTTACGCGGTCGTTGTTGTTGTTTATTCGTCACAGATTTATCGAATCAATTTATATTTTGAAAAAGAGGGGTCCGACTGCTATAAATACCCGGCCGACGGGGAAAATGCGCAAAAGGTGGATGGCGATCGCCGTCCGGTTGTTGCTGTTTGCGCTTTTGTTTGCCCAACATGGACCGACCGCTAAGTCGTGGGCCACCGACGACGCGAACGGCTCGGTCTCTGCGTCGCAGTCGGCAGCCGAACACGAGTCCGTCGTGGACAATTTCTTCGCCGCGTACTTCGAACAGCCCTGTTGCGTCCGTCCACGGCACGTCAGACACCACAAAAGTGAGTCGATACTGATTGTTTTCAAATTTGCATTAGGTACACATGCGGGTGCTAAAAAGGTCGTAAAAACGTGGTCAGGTACGGTTAAGCGTATGCTCACTCCCTCGCCGTGTCGAGAAACATCTCGAGACGTCGTCGAAACCGCGAACATAATATTTTTGTAGTAGGACTACTCTTAGGACACACACACACATGGCTTTGTGCTTATATATATATGCTCCAATCTCGGCACAAACCGGTTGTGTCTCCTAGCGATGTCGTCGTGTCCAGTCTCGAGTTCGAAAATCGTGTGGGGTAATATTATATTATTATGTTCGGAGGGCAAGACACATTTTTTTTGTTCCCCTCGTCGATACTTCGCGGTATACACACGGCGGGGTAGAAATACGTGCATTGTGCCTACAAATGGTCGTGTGGAGACGATGATGGCTGTGCCGAAGATTTCTGTGTGGAATCTGAGTTTTTCCCCGGTCGAGTATTATATAAATATTATAATATGGTATTATAGTTCAAAATGTGTATTCTTCCTTTTTTTTTTCACCCCAGCACCGATATAATATTGTGTACATAACAGTTTCTACGGTTTTGTCTGCAGAGTTTTCTTTGTGAAAGATACTTCCAATACGTGTTCATGTTTATAATATCTCGAATAAACCGGCATAAGGTATAATATCGTACAATATAAATGTATCGTATTACAGGGCTGTAAACTATTGTTTGAGTTATTTAATTATTTAATTAAAAAGGTACCATTTAACGCAACTGATTAAAAAAAAATTAATTTTATGTTAAACAATTTCATTTTAATTTAATATTACATACCTACAATGTACGTATGAATTGTGTGGATGTTATTATTAATTATCATAAACGATACGAATATTTTAAAATTAGTTATTAATTTTCATCTAAATTAAATACCTTTCTATTTTTTAAATATAGGAATACCGAATTAATATTAAATAAATCGTATATATTCTTGCACAATGTAACCATAATAATATACCTACTAATAAATAATAACCAACTTTTAAAAAATAGTACCCCGTAGGAATCTGTTAGTTATTTGTATTAAAAGATTGTAGCAATTATTTACGAAATTACTAAAAAGAAGGGAGTACCCGCCTATTGTAATAATCTCTGACATAATCGGATTAAAATTATATTTGTTGTGGAAAAAAATGTTTGTACCGGGCAGGTGAAGAAACACCACATAATGACTTAATACAGTGGGTAGGTTCACTTCAAAACCACATGTCCACATGACACAACAAATAACGATGTACATCCCTTCATACTTATATACCTAAATAATAGTATATAGACTGGAACGTCGCGTTTAAATTCCATAGGTTGTTTTTTTTTTTTTAAATTTCAGTACTTTAAACGAAGCAATAAATTTTAATCGTTATAATTTTACAAACACCACTAACCAAAATCATATTTTAGTGTAAAATACATTTAATTTTTTTTAACAACATAATTAATTATACGGGCACTAAAAATATAACGAGTAATAATATGGTTTAATCAAAAACTGTTCCCGAATCAACATAATACATCTTTTACAATTTTGTTTTGACGAAAAACAGTTTTTAAGGTTACAATACAAATTCCATTTTAAAATTACTATTCCGAAAAGTTTCGGTTGGTTTTTAAATTTTCAGTATGATTCAATGTTATGAAAAAGTCCAAATACATTACACGAATTACAGCCAGAGCAAACAGAAAAAAATTAATTTACATGAAATACCATACTTTATTTTCGGAAATATAAAGTTGCATGTAATATCGTTTTGAATCTCTTAATTTTAAAACAGTTTATGAACCCACAGATCACAATTTAAAATTTGCATCTAATAAATGTAAAACAAATAAAATATACAAGTACACATGTTTATAATACTGAACAACTTATATTATTATACGTGGGTGAACCAGTTCAGTAGGATTATATTTAATAAAGCATACTGATTACTGCAGGGCTTGTACAAAATTTAATTTATTATCATTTTCTGGGCAACATTTTATTAATCACGGCATTGTTTTTATTTATCTTTTATGAATAATTTTTTTATTTGCGTCACTCTTATAATGCAAAATATATTTTTAACAATTATTATTCTTTATAAAAATGAATTAGTAAACTAACATTTAATTTATATAGATTGACATAATTTGTTGATTATATAATATTGTGATAATACTGTGGTATAGGTACATTTATTACTTAAATATTATTTTATATTGTTACGTTAAACTATTTATTCGATGTACTTACAACATATAAGCATCGTTTAATAATGTGGTTTCGACTTAAGTAGGTACAATATATAGGTAAACATAATACGTATTCTCATGATGATATTAAACTATTAATATTGTATTAGAACCCAAGATAGATGATTTGAATTCCATACTTGTATTGATAATTCTTATAACGGATTTATATCGTATAATATTATATTACCTTTAATCTTCATTAAGGTAAAATTTTAATTTTTAATAGAAATTAAATTTGAATTTTCAATGACTTTTTATAATCATTAAACGCTTTTTCCTTAAATTATCATTATGCTGAACGATTTTTATCCATAATAAATGTATAGGACGACATTTGTGTATCTTACGGCCGAAGTTGGGTAAAGAATTCCCTTTAATCGAACATATTATTATTCGTTTTACTGTCGTTTTTTTTATTCTTGTAACTTCGCCAAAACCCGCCTGACGGTCGATTATTTTCGGTCGTTTTTTCTACTACACCATCGTCTTTCCCCTTCTTCAGCTGTGCCATCCAGGAGCCATGAATTCTTTGTGTATAGTAAAACAAAACAAAAAAAATAAATAAACCAAAGTACTTTTATTGTATACAAATACAACCAAAATTCTTCACTTGTACATGCATGTTTTGCTAGTAACTCGTTAATCGCTTGTCAGCAAGAGATGAAGTGCGAAAAATATTTCCCCTTTCTAAAAGAATAGGACATAATAAACGAGGGGCGTGCCAGGCACTCGTCGAACTCCTATTGTTCCATTTCGAAAATATAACTTAGGGACGGGATGTAGAAAAAAATCAAAGGGGCCTAGGTGTGAAAATGTGTTTAAAATACTTAAAAAGAACATGCATTACTAACCGACATTATAATATAATGCTTCATTGCACGACAAGCGTTCAAAAACATTATACAGGCATGCCGACTGCACAGTGCACTTATTAACATTTTTTTAAAAACTATCATCCTGTTCATCTGTTTTATTTTTATTTATTTGTTTCCCTACACAACATGATTATTTTTTACAAAGTCTTATAGCCGATTAGGTATTTAAAAATAGTAGAATATCAACTAGTAAATTTATATTATTTAGGTACCCTTTAAATGTGCCATAATATCTATTTAGGAGTCACGAAAAAAAAAATGTTAATGCTCTTAAGTTGACTGTCAATTTTTTTCAAAATAGATTGAATACTGTTTGAAAAATAAAAAATGAATGTATGAAGGAAAATTGTGGTATAAATATTATATTTTATATCTATATTAAACAGTTGTCCACGTGGAATGTTCTACGATGAATCATTTTTGATAGCCATCTATTATTATTATTATTTTTAACCACACAAGTATTTTCTAATAAATCGCTAGGACGTGAGGTGGTGGTGATATCTTCTTTGAAATGGAGTCTGCTAGAATCATATTATAATTGTTTGTCGAATCTAATGAAATATAATAATACCATATAGATGTATTGAACATTGGTACACTTTAATAATAGGTAGGTATATAATAATAATATTATGATATATTTTATTTTAATGAAATAACTGAAATGCCAGTCGCGCGCGTTCGCCTGTTGCCGTGACGCAAACATGGTTTTTATTTGATAACACCGTCGAAACTTACTAACATTTTATACTCGCAGCATTTACCGTATAATATCCGCTTTTCTAATTTGCGAACACGGAAAGTGCATATAAACGTCTTCGAAGAACACACTGTCATCGAGCAGAGACAGACTTGTGTGTGTTTATGGTAATTGGCGTAGTGCTCTGGAGGAGCCAACTCACATATATTATTATTATTATACACGTTAATATAATGAATATGCTCGTATTTTACTACCGTCTATCCGTGAACATTCACTGTGTATATAAATATGTATATAATATAATATGTTATATCGAAGAGCTTGGGGTCGCCCACACGTGTATGATATTATCGCTTTCGGCCCGACAAAGCATATACATCATTATATTATATTATATAATATTATAATAAACAATTTTAAAAGTACACATATATATATATATTATCCGTTATTTGTTTACGTACGCCGAATGTGAAGACATTTTTATAGGCGATGCCGGCTATATAATATTGTTATAAAAAGAGAAGGTCGTTCGAATGTTATAGCTGGCTGCAGGTCCGCGCGTTTATAATATTATATTATTTCTACTGAGAACACGATTAAATGTTATGTGATTTTTTCAATTTTTATAAGTGCATTAAACATAAACCCTGCACGGTTCTTATTTCATTGGTCTTGTAGAGATTTTCTCATGTGAAAAAAAATTGCATGTATTTTTAAATTACGGTTATTTTCAAGGAGCATTCATTAATTCAGTTCTGTAGTGTGTTAAACATGAATACTACATTTTTATATTAACACGGGAGCTCGTATTTTAAGTCGGTAATTTTTTATCCCTCGCACACACATTTCAAAAATATAATCTCATATTTTAAACACTCGAATATATTTGTGATAATATTACTGTCGAGTGATATTGGAATTAAATTTTCGACTGATGATTTTAGTAAGTACACACGTTTGTTTTACAGTGAAATTTGTGCCAGAAAATGTATTTTTTTTTAATTTTTAATTTCTTGTTTGTGTTGTTACGTGACACGAAAACGTTATTGTGGAAGAGAGATGTTGACCCTACAGCCTTATCAGTCAATTATTTCGAGATGAAGATTTTCATTTTTATTTTTTTTATATAGGTATATAAATGCATTTAATTTTATGTATAAATATATTTTTTTGTAATTCCCGAGGGCAAAATAAAGACTCTGCAGTGGGTTTAGACCGGTCGTTATTAAATGCCAGACGGTGGATTTCGACTAATTGTTGTTTGTCTACTGATGTCAAGAGGAAAAAATATATTATT